TTATTCTTCATATGTAATTTAAAAGCAAGCTTTTCTTTGTAAAAACTTCAATTGAATTTTAATAAAGTTAAAGGCATAGCCTTACTATTAATATTTAAAAAAAAAAATAAATACAACTTAATGAAATAGTAAATTTATTAAGTTTATTGTTATTAATTTTAGTCATAATTTATCTTTAGAATTACACATGTATTATGGTTATGCTAACTGCAAATACAACTGGAACTAAAAAGTTACAACTAATAGTAATTGGATCTTTCATTGAACCTAGGGCTTTAGTTCACTTAAATTATGATGCCATACTAGTAACATATTATGCAAATTTAATTGCTTGAATGAGAACTGATATTTTCTGTAAATAGTTCACAAAACTTGATGAAAAGTTTCATTTAGCAAACCAGCAAATTTTGTTGTTAGTTGATGATGTAAAGAGTCATTATAATTCTAATGAAAAATTGAGTAGTAAAGAAGAATCATGTAATGATGAATCAGAAAGTAAAAACAAAGAAGATGAAGAATTAGAAAGTGAAGAGTTAGATAAAGAAACCTATGCAAGCTTATTTAAAACCTTGCATACTCGATGTGGCCATCCAAGGTTAAGTGCTAGCAGCATTAATAAGCTAAAAAGGCAAATTTCTCTTTGTGGTTGTGGTCATGGTTATGGTTATGATCATGGTCACAAGCATAGACATAGACATGGACATGAGTGTAGGCACAGCAAGGGCTGTTATAGTACTAGTTGTTCTTGTATTATTCCAAATCCTTCTGATATTCATTTAACAAATATCTAAATTAAATTTTTATTACCCAATACTATGGCTCATCTTCAGCTAATGAATGCAGAGATTATCAATAGCTTTAAAGCTAAATATAAAAAAAAATATATTCAACATATATTAAATCAGTTTGAAAGAGGTAAAGATTTAAAAAAATAAAAAAATATCTGATTTTTTGTACATACTACACCTAATATAATGTGATTTTTTATATAAGAAATCAAATTCATGTATATTACTCATCCACTTTTATTTGTTATACTGGGTAATCAAAATAAAATATTGCATTATATTTGCTTTTCTTATGAAATTTGTATAGATGCTTAATTGCATAAATGTGATGTATATACAGAAGCTAGGCTTATTGCACAGCTATAATAGATGCTACTGTAATTCAAAAAAAGAAATTTTAACAATAATTACTAATTATTTTCATTGTTTTTTTGAATTATGATAGCATCTACAGGCTATAGTATAGAAATTTTAAAATGCATATGCATTTTGTATTTATAATAGGAGGTTTAGTTTGCTTTTAGGTTAATTCATATGGGTTTATTTTCGAATGAGTTATTTATATACTCAGATTTTTAATTTTAATCCAATTGATTCTATAAAATTAAAAAATTTTACTGATACTCTTTTTATTTTGTGCAGAAATAAATTAAACATCAGAGATGTAATATATTAAATAGCAGAATCATAGAATGAAATTGAAGAATCTACTATTATAAATTGCTAGAAAAAAATAGAAATTCTTCCTTTAGTATCAAATATTAAAATTGATAATTCTACTTATGCCATTCAAGACCTAGAAGATGTAGAAAAGGATGAAGTTGATGAATTAATCATAGATCTAATGACAAATCTGTCAGATCCAACAATCGAATGCCAACTAAATAAATTTAACAATATGAATTATTCTCAAATACTTACTAAAGATCTTCTTAATGAAGAAGAAATTGTTAACATTGTATTGGATAAGCAAAAGGAATTCAAAAAAGGTAATGCAAATGATACTGATAAGGAACTGCCTGAAATCTCTATTACAGAAGGCTTAAATAGACTAACAAAGTTTATTAGTTTTTTTGAGCAACAAGAGAGTTGTGACTTTAATATGAAGAATCTTAAAGTTTTCAGAAAATACTTACTATTAATCAAAAGAAAATATATTAAATTGCTGAAACAACCTCTAGAGTCAATAGCATAGTGGTTATGCTCTGAGGTCACAAATCACAAGGTTGCCAGTTCAAATCCTAGTGATGGCAATTGTAGAGATGCATTTCTAAAATAGGAAACTGCAACACCACGGCACTAGAGACCCAGGACGTCATTAGACATACTTATTTCTAGAAAAGGCAAGTGACCTGTAATTGAGAAGCCACTCGGTGATAAACACAAGTTAAAACCAATTTGGAATAACTGAAGTCATGAGACATAATGTGAGGCCAAAAGTTTGACAATAAGAGATACTACATAAACTTATGACGACAGTTAGTTCTGAATAGAGCTTGGTGAACCTTCTGATGCCAGCAGGGATTGGTGCGATGGTCATCTTTGGAAAGTTTAAAAGTACAGACTGGGGGAGGTAAAGGTTCAGTTCCAGGAGTATATTGAGGACATTAGTTCAAAAAAATGCAAAGGAACATGAAAAATCTCAGCAGAACTAGTGTCAGAGGTAAAACTGACACCTTATGGAACCTGCAAACTGGACGTCATTGTGGCATACTTACCTAATTAGAGTTGCCCATGACGATCCATCTGAAACATGTGCGCCCAGCCCCAAAAGATGCCATATGAAAGTACACAAGCCTTCATGCGGGACCCAATCACCCCTCCAATTAAAGTAAGGTCGACCTAGACCAACCTGTTGCGCTGGGAATGGACGTTGA